TTTAATATTATAAAGAGTTATATTTATAGAGTTACAGCTGTTTTCTATGTGATTATTGCTAAATTAAAGTTAAGGAATTCCAGGGTAATCTTAGAAAGTAATGTTTCTATAAAATGTGTTAATGAAAGTATCCGTATAATCTATAAACTGCAGCTTATTTGGCAAAAAATTAATTGAGTTATTTTCCATGATTGTTGATGAGTCACCTATTTATTAAAATAAAATAAAATTTAGAATAAAATATTTAAAAATAAAAGTATTTATTTATTTATAAATTAATTTAATGAGTTGAATACAATATTTAACACAAATAAGCTACTTAAATTAACCAAAATTCTTTTCCCATTGATTTCGCATTAAGAATCCAACCCAAGTATACCTAATGTTGATAAGTCAAATAGCTAAGAGCACAAAGACTATGGTGTATTTGATATGATATTCATCAATGGAGATCCGAAATCAATACTAAGCTATGGAGATGTAGCATTTAATTTTGCATCAATGACGGCAATATTTTCATAGCTGCATTAATAAAATATATTCCTTTAATCATTTTAGTTTTTGCAAAGGCATCTATTACTTAAAACATCTATTTATCTTGTTTCATTATAGCAAGTCTAACATTATTCATTTTAAATTTATGACTAATCACATTGCTTACAGTTGGCATAGCAGGGATTGCATTATAGGCTCCAATAATTCTAGCATGAATCGCATGTGAGACTAGTTAAATTACTTTAAAACCCATTTGGACAAAGGCTAACACAATTTTTGTTGTAGAGAAAGTAGTTAGAATAACAACTTAAGCAATTATTTGAGTCCTTTCCATCACAACTTGCACAAGTATTATCACATGCCTAACATTGCATTAATAACTAATTTTAAAATTAGTTTTGATTACAGGATTTTACACATTGTTTTGCAGTTTACTAATAGTATAATCCAGAGATACAAGATAAACAACTATTTGAATTTGGGCCATCACAAGTTTTACAGGTTGGATCACAAATACATGATTT